CGAAATCACTTCATCTATTTGTCATGCGCGGGTAGTTAGACCTCAACGCACATTACTTGCCACTCTGGAGGCCAGAGATGTGAGTATATATGCTACGATGCATTTATGTTCTCCCTTGAGAGATGGTTGGGTATGGTGTCCAGGGTAGAAATAATATATATGCTACGATGCATTTATGTTCTCCCTTGAGAGATGGTTGGGTATCTCCCTTGAGAGATGGTTGGGTATGGTGTCCAGGGTAGAAATAAGAAGGAAAGGCGATACACTATCAGATTATTGGAGGGCCAAAATTAGGTAATTCTCAACTATTATTGTTTCTTTTTTCGAAAGAAAATAGTTATCCCAGTCTATGATTTATTCTTTTTCCAGGGACTTACTCACAGCAGTGGGGTATGTTCATTCGCGGGGAGTTTATCACGGGACGTTGAATAAGGGTTCTTGCTACGTTTTTGTTGGTCCCCGTATTAAAATAATCAACTTCAAGGGTAAGCTGGCTGAGATCAATCAACATGAGCGGATTAAAAAGATGAAGGACTTAATTGACATGGGATCTCTGTTCGAGTTATTAATTAGGTCGCTTATTCCTTCCGGTTCCACATGGAAAGAAAAAGATGCATTCATCAACTGTCTCCAAAACAGTGAATTTAACGTGAGTTTCTTTTAAATGTTTTTGTTATGTAATTGTAAAACACATACAATTACATAACAAAAACATTTAAAAGAAACTCACGTTAAATTCACTGTTTTGGAGACAGTTGATGAATGCATCTTTTTCTTTCCATGTGGAACCGGAAGGAATAAGCGACCTAATTAATAACTCGAACAGAGATCCCATGTCAATTAAGTCCTTCATCTTTTTAATCCGCTCATGTTGATTGATCTCAGCCAGCTTACCCTTGAAGTTGATTATTTTAATACGGGGACCAACAAAAACGTAGCAAGAACCCTTATTCAACTTCCCGTGATAAACTCCCGCGAATGAACATACCCCACTGCTGTGAGTAAGTCTCTGGAAAAAGAATAAATCATAGACTAGGATAACTATTTTCTTTCGAAAAAAAGAAACAAAAATAGTTGAGAATGACCTGATTTCGGCCCTCCAATAATCCGATAGTGTATCGCCTTCTTATTTCTACCCTCTCCCCCCGAACACCATACCCAACCACCTCCAACCATCTCTCAAGGGAGAACATAAATGCATCGTAGCATATACACTGACATCTCTGGCCTCCAGAGTGGCAAGTAATGTGCGTTAAGGGTCGAACTACCCGCTCATTCTAATTCTGTTCAAAATCCAATTTTAGCCAGTTTGAACCACTTTTTCCTGCACAAACTTTTCCCCTCCATATTCTCTTTTCAAGAGACCGTACTTGAACTTTCAGCAACTTGGTTCCTTCAAGTATTCTCGAAACTCATTTTTATACCCAAGTAATTAATTTCGCAAATAATTTATCAACATTTATCACAATAACAATGAGAGGATGAGAAAAGAAACGGATAAACCTCTTGAATAGAAAACAACCAAAACTGAGGTTGGAAAAATTAACAGCATCTTGCAAGGAAAAATATAGTGAAAGTTAAAGCGACTTTGCTCCTGCAAAAGATACCACTATTCTTTTTTTCTTTTTCTTTTTTTTTCGAAACCAGTATCAAGTATATAATCGGTATCATCATATCTTCCTTTCCTTATTGCCCCTGCACAATCGGCTGTTCTACCTCTCCATTCATATCAGAGCTGTGATGATGCACTAGGTACCATCGCCCATTATGAAACTCAAAGACGTTGGTCACAATGAATGGCTTGGTATCGATTTCAAAATAAGTTTTCATGGTAACCCAAGCCATGTCTGTCAGAACCCGAGCACGCACATCCCGAATCTGAAAGTTGACCCCTTGCTCCCAATCAAACGCAAGTCGCCAACTCTGCATTACTGCATTATACCTGACCAGGAAGCAAAAATGACTTAGAACAATACGCACAGAACAACTGCCAATGCTTTTTAGAACAACATGCACAGCCTCATTCTTTCAATCCCCTCCAAATCCCAACTGAAAGGCATCGCATGAGCTGCGAGTGGCCATTTCATTGACCTTTTTCTCTAAATCTGAGTTTGAAAAACAGAAATTCACTCCCATTGAAAAAAGAAAAAAACATAAAGTCATGCATAGCTTCATTTTTCAGAATGGATACAAAAAGCATAATCAAAGGACTAGCAGTGATTTAAAGAAAAAACAAAAAACAACATTTTCACATCACGTGGATGAGGTTAACAGAAGAAAGCACTCGTGACAGAAGTGCAGTTACCATACAGTGTACACAAATAAGAGGCATCTTACCCTGAAAAGAGTTCTCCTGAGGCATGAACACACTTCACATAGTCTGCATTCAGCCATAAACGACTCATTTCTGCAAGTGACCTTTCTCTGATGAAGTTAAAGAATTCAGTATTGACATTCACAATCGCTCTTGTAGCAGCATAGTAAGCCTTCCACCCATTAACTGGTGTTATACCATCCTGTTCCAATGTGAAGTCCTAGAAGAGAATTTGAAAAACCCAAAACAAAATATTCTTAGGACCCATTTGATGGGTGAAAATAAAGAACTGACATGCATTAGGACTTCAAAGATGGATAAATTTCTGTTTTCAAAATTAAATTAAACATACATCCCAACAAGAAATCTCTCAATAACTTTCAAATAATTAAATCTTGCTTATGGTTTCAGGCGGCAAAATACAGAGACATTCAGTCACGTACTTCTCTAATTAAAGAGACATAAAAAAAGTAATATTTGTAACAATATTGCAACTAAAATCATACAGAATTTTTTGGTTCTAAGATCAGATACAAATTGGCTGCACATTAAACCAAGATAAAAGAAACAAAGATTAATTTTTTATATATATATTTCATCATTTAATTGAAGGAAAACTTCATGCAGCTAAAATTTGAGAATAAATCCAATGCAGTTAAAACAAGTTCTTCTTTTTCATCTCTCAGGCACCCAAAATGTGCCATAAGTAAACACACAATAGCCTAATCTCATCCCACATGTTTCACATCCCAACTCACAAATGTAGCAAAGTAACATGCAATATCCTAATCTCGCCCCACACGACAAGCCACACCCAAAGTTCCAATACTATAAACAACAACAACAACAACAAAGCACACAATCCCAACCAATTTCCGATTAACTTACATGCACAAAGGGTCCAAATTTTCCCACATTTTCTCTACAACCAAACACACCATCCCTTCAATTGGAAACCACCTCGCCTTTAAATCAAAATTCAACAAAGACCAACATACAAATACTTAAAATACAAGAAGTTCGATAAATAAACCAGTAACATACCTTATGATAAAGCGCTTTCCACGCATTATCATCATTCGCGGCCTTTCGCATGAGCGAATTAGTCATCGAAAGCCTACAGAGGCTCGGATAGTCCAAGTAGCTAAGCGCGTGCGTCGTAATCTCCGGAACAAGCTGCTCCATCATCGACGCGCCCGTTTGCCGCTCCGTAATCACCGTCGCCGTCTTTTCCGTCACGTCTGGACCGGTCCCGCCGTTCAAGTGCGGCGCCCTCAGCGGCTCCGAATCGGAGCCGGAGACGACGTCGTTACAGTTGCAAGCACAGCAAGCTCGCAGCTTTTCGTTTTTATTCGACGTCGACAGGTCGGTAGCCGAGCCGCCTGATTTGGGTTTGAAAGGGAGTGATCGGACGGCGAGGAGAGCGAGGAAGAAGGAGAGAAAAGTGAATACGAGGGCTACGAAGAAGGTTTGGGGAGATGAGAGACTGAAGGCAATGCTCTCCATTCATAAGACATGAAAGCTTTGCAGAACATGAAAACCCTAAATATCTGGTGCGGCAGGGTCCACGATAAGGCTATATTGTGTGTGTGGCGGAGAGCGAAATTGCGCCGTTTCGTCTCGGCGTGGTTTGCTGTGGTGGGGTTGTTTGGAAAACCCTAATGCGGAGATTGAATTTTACAGAAGTTTCAGGCTTTCTCAGGAGATAAGTAGAGAGAGAGAGGGAGGGTGGTTGTGAGCTGTGACTCGTGAGTCGTAACGGACTGAGGTCCGAGAATCAACTCGAACCGTGTGTGCCGGGTCAATATTAAATAATAATATTAATTAATTAATGAGCGATTATTCTTTACATAAATTTCTTGGGGGGTGTTTTCGTAATTTCAACTTCCCTTTTTTACTATTAAATCAATTTTTGTCATTCAAATTTTAATTAATGTATTTTTTAAAAATTATCATTCGTTTCCATATAAAATGTTGTCACTAGAGTGAATAGTCTTGAATGGAAATTGGGTACTCAATTTTGCCAAGTCAATGGAGTGAATTGGAGGGTGCTTTGCCTTCATAGAGTATGGTTTAATAAATGGTTAACTATTTACAAATTAAATGGATTCTTTTATATATATAAGCGTTAGTCTAACTTACTATTTGTCAAAGTTACAGAAGGAGAGTGGGGTTTTCTCACTCGGAGTGCTATGACAGTATCTAAGACTATTGATCTATAAATCAATGCTTTTTTTCCAATGAACCAGGCTTCATTATTCTAACTTACGATAAAGAGAATTGACTCAAGTGTAAGAGGAATGACACGCTGCCCTAACTCCTATCTGCCAAATAAAATGGAGTTCAGTGAAGGAAATAGTTATACAAGTTTAACATCATTTCAGTGCAGACTGTGCAGTGCATTTTAGACTTTTCGTCATTTTGGTCGAGTTAAGAAGTTAGGTTTTTTAGGTTTTAGACATAAAAAAAATTTCACTTTTGGAAAAAGCCAAAGCTTTTTCAAAAAAGACAAAAAAACCGCTCAACTTTCAAATCAAAGACATGCAAATGTATTGGATTCCTTAGGAAATCTAAAAATAAATAAGGGCATTTTTGTCCATTTTTGCTTCTTTTAAAATTTCTCTCTCCTTTTACTTTTTCTAAAATGTCCCTAAGAAGTTTCATCGTACAGAGCAGAATAAAAGAATAATAGAAAAAGATTCGATTACAACGACACCAGATCATGGACCGTTGGACCAATGGGACCTTATATAGACTGCTGGCCTAGAAAGTCAGCGAAGACAAGTTGGGCCTTGAGGCATCAAATTTTGCAAATTCGGCTGCAAGGAGCCTAAGATTGCTGATTATTTTCTTATTGTTTGTAATGATGTAGCTCAGAAAAAAAAGAAAACGGAAATAAAAAGACAACCAACCTTTTTTTTAATTTTTCTTTCTACAACACCGTTCTCTTCTTTTTATACGGAAGATCTAATGACTAAGGAGCCAAAAACCTATGGCACTACAAGAAAGAGGAGAAAGACTAACTACAGATCAAAGTAATGAATATTGTCATACTGCTGCTAACAATCATCAAAACCCAACCTCTACTTTTCCTGCATGCATTCTCAGGCTGAGAGGAGGCTCTGAAAAATGTCAAAACTTGCAATGAAACTAGTTTGAGAATGGCAAAGCACAAAAAGAAAAGACTAACGGCTAGAACAGCAAGCTCTTTACTTTCCAGGCTCGCTTGATCTTTCCTAACATTTTCAAAATCCAATCTGCAGTAACAAAGATTCATGTCAGTGAGTCAAAGAGACTGATATGAAGCAAAATTTAGTGCATTAAAAAAATTGTGCAGAACTGTAGTAATATGTTGAGACATATTTCTAACCTTAACATGTTGTTTTCCCTGGCCAATGCATTCACTTGAGATGAGACAACAGCTTTCCATGATTCGAGGTCAGTAAATTCTTTTTCCTGGAGAATCGAAGGATGCCAAACAATTAGGCGGATAAAGCTTCCTTTCCCAAAAACTATATGCATATACATTACAAATTGAAAAGACATTCAAGAAGAAAAAACCATGCAGTACCATATTTTCCTTCCATTGCATAAGATCTTTAATCTCCGTTTTGGTTTTGTCCAAAAGCAATGATAATCTTAATAGCTCTTTACCAACCTCCGGCAAGATATCCCCTTGTCTTCGATTTAATTCTTTGATATATTCCTCCAGCACAGATAAGTTCAGCTCAAGTGACCTCACCTTTTGCATCAAAATCTTCAGAACAGAATCACCAGGAATTCTTCCATTTGGCTGCTGTCTTACCTTCATAACAGGTTCTGGAATTTTGTTCGTTGTTGCTGGAATCTTGTTCGTAGTTACGGGATTTTTGGTAACGTCTAAATTTACTTTTTGTGTATCTTCAATGTTTTCGATCCCTACACCAGCCATTCGCACCCCATTTTGACCTTCACCACTTGTCCTCTGGTCAGTTGAACCAACCTCTTCTTTTGTAGAAGATATTACAGTTGCATTAGGCTCTGCCAATTTATTGGCCGCAGATTCTGCAGACGCCACAATCAGATCTTCAAGCATTCGCTCAATTGCATTAATACCATACACCTCTAGAACACTCAGTGTGCAGTAAAACTCTGATCCATAGTGACTTAGCAAATCCAACTTCAAGTATCTTACCCATTTGGGTTCTGGCAGCTTAAAGGTTTGAGCATGCTTGACATTAGCAGCAACAAAGTTTCCCAATGGGGACCATGCGTCTGCTGGATAGCTTAAACTACCTGACAATTCAAATTCCTTGAAATTAGAAGAGTAATGCTCAAAGTTTGCAATTTTGACAGCATCTACCAGAGTCTCTTCTGCAAGTTCAACGATAACAAACTTCCCCCCTACAGAACAAGGGTTTCTCAGGTACTTATCGTGATCCTTGCCCAATATGTTGCTTGCTCCTTTTGCTTCCTTATTGTGAGCCACCACTTTTGCACCCTTGGACGCAGAGGCATAGTTGTACTCCGTTCCATCAGGTTCAAGCCCATGGGGAATGTTAACGAGCTGACTAGGCACATCCTGACCTTTTTCTTGCTTTGTTATGTTTCGAAATTCATCAAAATTGAGATAGGTGGAATGAGAAGTTCTACCATTCAGATATTGCCCTGAATGATTTGTGTTCTGCTCTTCTTGTGCTTGATGTACTTCACAAACCAAATCACCATAACCTAAAACACTCCAAACTAATTTTTCTAACCTATTTGTCTCTGGAAGTGAGTACTTGGAAATTGCATAGTTGTGAGATACATCAGAATCATTATGGCTTTTAGACGAACCAAAATCTAATAGCATTCCATTAGTCTGCCTTCTGTTTCCGTTTTCTACAAATGAGCATGCATGATCACCGTGCTCACCATTGTGAACACTAGGACAATGTGTAGTTCTGTTATCAGGAGCTGAATTCCCTGAAGATATAGGCTCAAGTTAAACAAATTATGCATCAAATTTATAGACAAGGATAAAAGTTAAAATGCCACCTAAATAGCTTATCCTAAAATCATGAATCTGGAAATAGAAGAATGGTGATTCCATAAGAAAGCTCTCTAAATTCCAGCTAGAAGATAAGATTTGGTAAATCAGACACATTTTCATTCATCACCAAGAATGTAAGGGGACCAGTAGAAGAGATTTTCCCAACAGTACATATCAACTAAGGAAGCAATTGACAAACCATGGCAGAGATGTCGCATAGGAAAAAATCAATATATCTAAAAGAAAAAGGCCAGAAAACCCTAATTGGGAATTACACAGTCTAGTTTCTAAAGATTTTAACATTTTTAAGAAAAAACCAAAACCACTAAAAAAAAGAAATAGTGAATAAGAAACGAAGGCCTCTTCATGCTACAGAAAATTGTTGAAACAAAAAAGAAATTAGGATCTTCTAACACTATCATACCCAAAGAGAAAATTCACCTCTTCAATTCATTCACATGTAACTTGACTATGCTATGATAGAAAAGTCTAAAGCCACTAATTGGATAGTTATTCTCTAAGAAACTTATTAGGGGAACATTACAGGCTTCAGCTTTCTTTCTACGCTTCAACTTATTTGTGAAATATTGATACAAAATGCAGATTGAGGAAATGGGTTTGCTAGAAATACAAAAATGAAAATTGGGTGTTAAGGAATTAGATGAAAGTGGGAGAAAGTAGAGCCAAAACTACAAAAACAAGATACAAAATTTACTAAGAATCCAAATCCAAAAACCAAATAAATAAAAGTTCAGAATCAGAATAAGAAACAGAAGCCAAAGCAAAGAAAAATGGAACATGAATCATAAATGGAAAAGATGATACCTCCATTCCCATGGCCAAGACCAAGTTTAGAGTAGAACAGGAAGACAAGGCACCAAAGTGAGAAGATCAAAGACACAGATAATTCATAGAAGCTCTTGCTCTTATTGGTGCTGTAGTTGTTCTTCTTGTTTTTGTTCTTGCAGCTGTCATTGTTTTTCTGAAAATTGCAGCTTTCATTGTGTTTCTGAAAATTGAAGGTCTCATTGGTGTCTTTGCTTTGGCTTTTGATATATAAGGAGCCATTCCGAGGCTTCTTCATCTCTCATCTGTGCAGGAAGTGCCGTTGAGTTGAAGGGTTTTGCTGGGTCTTTCTGTTGCATCAAAAAGCATAGCGACAGAGGGAGGAGGGGGAGAGAAAATGTGGTCTTTCCTCAGAAGTTTTTTTTTGGGCAAAGAGATCTTCCAACTTCTGAGAAAATGTGGTCTTTCCTCAGAAGTTGGAATCACGAAAAGTCCTTGTCTGCTTTTTGTGGCTACATTATTCCCATTCGTGCGGGAACTGCTCTTCGCCGTTGAATTGAACGGCGCATAAGTCGGTTTTAGAGCAAGTTTAAGTTGAACTTTTTAACCCGTATCTTACGAACGGCTTAATTTGGTGTGTCAAGTTTCAACGGCCACTTCCAATGCCACTAGGCCCACCTCCAGCACAAGCCCAAACTCGGGCAAATGGGAGCCCCAGGCCACAAACTCTCCCCCAGCGCGCAAGCCAGCCCGGGCAAGCCCACAGGCAAAAATTGACTGGGCTGTTGCCCCAAGACTGCTGACGTCACCACTGACCCACTAGCCCACAGAAACCAACGGCTACGAGTCACGTGGCTTATCCTAGAGCCTCTGATTAAAAAAAAATAAAAAAATCACAAAATTCTGAAAAATTTTCTACAAATACCTACCAATATTATTCACATTTCACACCAAATCTTCATACAAATTCATCTCTTTCCACACCAAATTTTCTACTACAAAATTTCATTTGTACAAAAATACAAATGGCCAAACGTTCAAAGAGGTCAAAATCTTGGCGACGAGGTAAAAAAAATTTAATTGCCATTTTATTCAATTTAATGTCTTTTTTTATTTATATATTTCTTGCATTTCCAATTTCATTTTTTTAATAGATTATTCAAGACAAAAAAAAGAAGAGGAAAACCATTACACATGGCTCCTCAAGTGAATAATGCCTGCAGTCGGTTCCAGTGGTGCGTTCCGTGTAGGAAATAATGACACTATTACGTCCTCTGAAGGAAAATACTCCACCACGTCATGATCCAGTGGAACCGCCTCCGCCAATGATCGACTCGTCCTTGTTCTAGATTGTGTCAGACTATGAGGACCGAGAGTATTTCAATTGTATGATGAGTGAGTAGGTATTTCAATTGTATGATGAGTGAGATGTGAATTTTATAATAAATATAGACATATGACAACCGAAAATCTTATCCGAAAATTTAATTTGAAAATTTTATCCAAAAATGTTATCTAAATGTTTAGGTGAAAAATTTAAAACAAATTGTGACACGTGGCAACCGAAAATCTTATTCGAAAAGCTTATAAAAAATAATGGTTTAAGTGAAAAAAAAATAGAAAATAAATTAAAGTGAATGGTGTTTGCTATTGCCCTTGCCTTTTAGGGTGGAACCAAAAAAAGGCAAGGCTGCCACTATTCACGTGAATAGTAACAAACCTTGCCTTGCATTTGCCTTACTCTTGCCCTTTAGGGTGGAGGTGCTCTAAGAGCTTGAAAACTAAAATGTTCAAAGACACCAATGTTGGAAGGCAGCTCCAGTTTGAATCTCCTAGTCTCCGATTGATTAATTAAAAACTGCCAAATTTGTTCTAGTAAATTAAAATTTGAATAAATGAGTCATTGCCAAGTCATAATAAGCAAAAGTTCATAAACAAATTTAGTGAGCATAACAGTACTCCATATTTTAGACACCGTGCCTAACTTGAATGTAGTTTTGGAAATTTTGTGACACAAGACTTGACATATAATGTTCATTAGGTTTAAAATTAGATGATTGTATCCAGCTATTGGAGTTATGATCTCATTGATGTTTAAATGAAAAAAGTGCAGATGAATTTGGAATTCTTAATCCTTTACATTCCTGGCTTTTTCTAATAACTACAGCTGAGCTACATCTATCAAACACAAGAATAAAACAAATTAACAAAAATAAAAAGCCCAATAAAAAGGAAAAATGGGCTTGCTTTGAATTACAAAAGATAGATTACACCTTCTGGGTAGCACACAACAAAACTACACGATACAATCTCATTCATGCTCTTCACGCTCTTGCTGGCAATGAAGCTTCCAATGCAGTCCCCATGCATGCACGGTACAAAAAGAACACGGAGAGGCCCCATGTATGGGATCTTTCATTAATCATAGGGTTTCTCCTTTGGATTGTGTTAGAAGGGCATACTCTAACTCACGTTCCTGTTCCTGTTCCTGTTTGATGAACTTAAGGCTGCCAGGATTTTCTTCCTCAAAAAGAAGCTTTAAGGGTGTCTGTGGAGGGTACTTGTTCAAGATAAAATCGATTTCTTCGCCGCTAATTTCCTTGCGTTCAAGAAGAACCTGAAATGAAAGTCAAAGAAGCCCGCAAGCCATTACACCGCTTAAAACCTTATAAGATATTCAAGAAATTCAATCATATGCACTTGAAGGATAAACATCTGTAACACTTCCAAGATGCAAATTTGCATGCAGACCAATTACCTTCACAGTTTTAAGCAAGGCTGCATGGTGCCTTTTAAGCAAAGAAAGTGTTTTGTCATACATATTATGTATCAGCTCTTCAGTCCTTTTCGCAACCTCATCGTCTAAATTGAAGTTCACTGGTGGTTCAATTAGGTCATAGTCGTGGTACAGTGATCCCTCAAAGTCCAGCCGAGGGCCTACAAATTGAACTTTCTTCCTCCAAGGTGGTGGCTCTCCGTGTATGACCATTGGATTCTCCAAATTCCAACTGTAAGGAGTGAACAATCAGTTCATTACAACATCACATAAAGCAGGGAGTTAGAAAAACAGTAGTGAATAAGGGCCTAACATGGTTAAAATTTTACGAGCAAGCCAAGATGCATCAGCAAGGTAGTCAACTGAAGCCCTTGATGTGTCCCGTCCATATATGACCTCTTCAGCGGCCCTCCCTCCAAGTAAAACCTGCATGGGGAAGGAGAAAAAAAAATCCAAATTAATGAATAGGATGCAGTTAAAAGGAAACCATAAACAATAAAAAAGCTAACCTGAAGGCGATGTAGCAATTGTGGCCGGCGCTCAAACATGTATGATTCATCATCAAGTCGATGAAATACAACTTGCGATAATGTCTGAACAAATCACTCCATAAGTAACAAGTGATAGGAAAGATGACCCCAGAGTCAAATACTATTATTATAGTTATATCAAATTAGTCATTACGTGCAAATGAACAGTGAAATTAATTTAAAAAGACAAGTTTTAAGTAAAATTAATTTTTCATCTTTTAAGTATGTAATGAACCACACAACTTTTAATCCATCAGAAAGTGTTGAAAACATATAAGAGCAACAACTTACAAATCAGCCTATGGACAAAAAAGAAGATAAAGAAGCAGAAGGGGCACCTGACCACGAGGGATGATTGAGATACGATCACAGCATTCAACTTCTGCATTCTCATATTGCCTAAGCAGATGAGAAGTTATTGCAACTCCAACTTCAGTAGTGGATCGACGACATTGTCCCTGATGACCTAACTCTATTCCAACCCGTTTTGGTCCTACAGTAAGTCTATCAACTGCATCATCCAAGTCCGACTGACGAATTGACTCATGCCCCTTCCTCACTGCTACAAGTGCAGCCTCTTGGACCAGCTGAGCCAACTTTGCTCCCGTCCATCCTAATAATTATCAAATGTTTATTCATCCAAATACCAAATTATATGGAACAGCAAAGACGGATGCATACCAGGTAAGTTCTGTGCATAGCTGGACAAATCAACAGACTCTGACATTTTCACTTTGCTTGCGTGGATTTTCAAAATATCCAATCTCCCCTTTGCAGCAGGAGGACGAATTTTTATCTACATGATAAAACCCAAATAACAATAAGCCAGTAAGTTTCATTGATTCATTCAACAGAGCTAACCTATACAATTTATGGATAAAGCAGAAAACAGACATTTGGATCTGCAATTAATTTATATCCACTAGTTATTAAAAAGTCGCTAAATTATCCAATAGAGAATCATCCAGCAGGACAATTCCAACCAACAATTGGAAAATAGTTTAATGGCTCATTTAGGATCACATAAAGATGTATGATGTCTGATTAAAAAAAGAAGGTATGATGTGACTGATGATATGTCAATCTTAAACCAAAGAGTTAAAAGTCCCTGAACTAACAGAGTGGACTAGTTCTAACTTCTAACAGTCTTTTACTCAGAAAGAAACAAACCTTGCGATCAAAACGACCTGGTCGGAGAAGTGCAGGGTCTAACAAATCCCTGCGATTTGTAGCAGCTAAAAATATAACACCTTTACCAGTATCAAACCCATCAAGCTCTATTAAGAGCTGGTTCAGTGTAGTTTCCCTCTCTTGAGTGGCTGCATTATACAGGTGGTCGGAAGATTCCTTAAAAATCCCTTGACGCCTGATCATACAATAACAAACATGTAGTACTAGTATGAGCATCCAATTAAAAATTATGGACTAGACACTTTTCAGTCAGCAGCTTGCACAATGATGACATGTCATGAAGCTATGTTGCTCACAAAATTTTAAAACCACAAATGATAGCACGCAATTCATTAAAATCCACCAAGAGAAATGTGCATACCTCGTAGCCAATGCATCAATTTCATCAATGAAAATAACTGATGGTTTGTTTACCTGCACCGAAAAAAAAGATCATAATGTAGCAATCTCAACAGGACTTCAAGAAAGCAAAAATTCCATGCATTAATTGATGAAGAAACTCTACACTAAGAACCACTTATTAAAAGGGAAGTATACTTCATATAAAATTACTGATAAAGGAGAATGACTTGCTTGTTGTTCCCACTTCTCACTTCTGGGTGACAAAGTGGGATAATATCGGGAGAACCAATGTTGTTAGCCACACAGTTCTATGCATTAAATATGGACGAGTGCAATCACAATTTACAGAATTCAACTACAAATGGGAAGTATAATCACCTTGGCTCTTTTGAATAGATCCCTAATACGAGCAGAACCAACACCAACTAAAACTTCAACAAATTCAGATCCAGCCATTTGGTAAAATGGAACACCAGCTTCACCCGCTATGGCCTTAGCAACCAGGGTCTAGAAACAGGCAAGTAAACTGAAAAATTACTACGGGCTAATTTCATGTGCACATATTGAAGATTAGGACAAATAACAAACCTTGCCGCATCCAGGTGGGCCCTCTAAAAGAACCCCATGCGGAGGCTTTATTCCCATTTTAT